TACGCACTGCTGCTTCGCAAGGAGGAGCCGACTGCCTTGTTCAGCATACAAACATGTGCCATGGTTTCAGTGGTAGTCGTTGACCTTTATTTTAGCGAGATGGTGCTTTTTTTGAACGTTCATTTCTTACTTTTCATTTTAATTCAGTCATTGATCATCATAATAAATAATTAACTTTGTTGTTGCTATAGCCTTTATGTTTGCTTTCTTTTGTGTGAATATAACCTTTTTTTTTCAAAGACGTGCACACTCATTCTAAATGAATGGGTATGTTGTGGGCTTATTCACTGCAAACATCAACGTAAACATGGTATTAATTTTATTTATTTTGTCTTTTTTTACGATGCTTGACTATCATAGGCCTAATATTCTTTGTATTTTTTTTAGTATGATTCAGTGTTTTATTTTTTTTACATTTGTTATATTACAAGTAATTTGAATATAATTTTACCGTGCTCTTCTTTTTTCTTACAGATTCAGAAGTGAAAATCAAGTACATATTATTTGTATTTATCAATTTATGAATTATTCATAATAAAGGCCTAGGAATTTTGTTACGATTATGAGTTAATTTGTTTAATCAAACATACTTTTATATCAAAATATTAAAATATATTATTTGTAATTCCATTTAAACTATAATATTTTACAATTCATGTATTTTTTTTTTTTTATAAATATGATCATCAGATTGATGATGTACATTATGTACATAATTCCTATTGGCTGTATGTACATTATGTACATAATTCCTATTGGCTGTAGGAACAAACGTATATCCTAACAATTTTACTATGTTTGGATGAGGGGTAACAGAAAGCATCTTTTTTGCTTCTCGGAATACCGTTGCTCTTAGCTTTTCATCACTGAGGCCCTCAACATTTTTTAAACACCTTCACGGCTACATTATCATTTCGATAGCGATATAAGTGCACACGTCCGAAAGTTCCACTCCCAATCCTAGTGTTTAGATTAAATAAATGGTGATAATCGATGTGGGGAATGTGATTAGAAGAACTTGGTTTTATTTTGGCAAAGTCGTGGATGGCTTTGCATCGCATCTCCAGTTCTTTCTCTAGTCTAATTTTCAAAGATTGTGCTCTTTTTTCTTCCCTCATTCTTTTCACCCGTTCCTCATATAACGCTGTTTTAATGTTATTCTTCAGTACGGTTTCCTTTATAAGAACAGGTTCCTTGTCCGATTCTCCCTTTCCCTTATTGGTAACACAACTCTCATCTATGGTCACGACAGCCTCGCGAACGTAGTAATAGAATGTATCCGTCTTTACTTTCCTCGAACCCGGTTTCATTCTTCGAACGAGGTGGCCTATTACAGCAAAAGCCTGCCTGAATAGACGCCCGCGTTTTTGGTCTGTAGTTATGTGTGGGTAATTTTTTAAATAAAAACGCTTTTTTCCAGGTACAAATTTCTTTAAAATAACTGCATGTATAATAGCATCAGAGGCATTCATTTTTAACTCGTCAATGTAAAATAAAGTTATAACTAAAGAGAGGATTGGCTATCTGAACTGGTGTAGTACTGTACTTCGATTGCACTATCATCGGCTTTATGTATGTTATAACGGCTTGGAATCATCAAAAAGACCGCAATTAACTGATGATCCGTGAAATCGGCTTGCGTTCCTTCTTTTTTAAAACAGACCCGGATTAACGTTGTCATTTGATAGGCCGGGGTGGGGAGGCAACCCTAGTACAGAAGAGTGAATTGTACATATTATTTCGAATGAGTAAACCGGTTGTTTAAAATGGTCTATTTGAAATGAGCAGCACATTATTCGAATGGGTAGCACACTATTTGAAATGGGTAGCACATTGTTTCAAATGGCTAGCACACTATTTGAAATGGGTAGCACATTGTTTCAAATGGTTAACAAACGATTTGAAATGGGTAGCCATGATTTAAAATAGGGTAGCACACTATTTGAAATGGATAGCACATGATTTCAAATAGGTAGCACACTATTTGAAATGGGTAGCACATGATTCCAAGTGCGTTAAAAAGCATCCATAATGTACATTAATTCAAATGGGCTGCACACTTTCAAATGGGTAGCACATTGTTTCAAATGGGTAACACGCGATTTAGGTAGCACACTATAATGCGTACCACTTTTAGTACTTTTAAGTGGTTAGCACATGTGTTTAATTTGGTATTACTTAGATCGTTCAATGGAATGTTGATACCGGGCAACCTCTTTAAAATCTCCGAAAAAGTACACCAAAGATAGGCCTCATAGCGACTATGAAAGATGTCGAAAAATATAATTATGTAGATCGAATATGGGCTGCCGATACTGCACATAAAATTTTCAATAAATTTATAATTAAACACCGTACACTTTAATGGCCCATTTCAGGCTTCTTTTATATTCATAAGTCCTATAGTGATAGGATGTTTCCCAATTACCTTCTTTTCTAAACATAATAATTCTAGTAGCTCTTCTTTGTAGACTCTCAATTTTGTTAGTGTTATGTTTATCACCAGGTGACCACATTGCACAGCAGTAAGTTACAATAGGCAATACAAGTGCTTTATACAGGTTAAGCATTGCTTCCCAAGACATATTTTTGCTACACCTGATAACAAAACCAAGAATTCTACTAGCTTTAGTACATACATAATTTACTTGAGTGTGACATGTAAGTTTAGAATTAAAATGCAGTTTTAATATATAATTTTAAATACATGCTAATAGCCATTAAACGGTGGTCTTCGGGCGGTCTTCCTTATAAAGCTACTAGAAAAATTCACTACAGTACTTTGAGGCCTCCTGTACTAGTTGCCTAGTAACTAACCATAAAATCGGAAAGAAACTTTCCTACAACCAAGGTTCCCATGGTGCTCATGAGGGTGAGAAGGCATATTCTTTGTACGCCGCCTTCAGGAATGTCCGCGTTACACTGCAAAGACAAAAGTAGGTCAGACGCTGTGAAGGTGTTCAAGTGCGTTCACCTACTTCATGTCACCATTAACTTCGAGTCATCAATCTGATGATCATATTTGTTAACAAAAATACATGAATTGTAAAATACTATAGTTTAAATGGAATGTAAAAATAATATATTTTAATATTCTGATATAAAAGTATGTTTGATTAAACAAATTAAATCATAATCGTAACAACATTCCTCGGCCTTTATTATGAATAATTCAGAAATTGATAAATACAAATATGTACTTGACTTTTTACTTCTGAATCTGTAAGAAGAAAAAAGAACACGGTAAATTATATTCATATTACTTGTAATTAATAACAATTGTAAAAAACTTCAAACACTGAATCATACTAAAAAAAATACAAAGATTATTGGGCTTATGATAGTCAAGCATCGTAAAAACAAAAATACAAAATAAATTAATTAATTCCCAGTCCGAAACACACGCACCAAACAAACATTAAAAATACACAACCCTTTAAAAATTACTTTTCAAACATAAAGCACTAGTGCTATATCGGCATTACTTAGAGGCAGTTTATCGCGATCGAAATGCAGAACAATACGGCGCGACCAAAAAGAAGGCGCGACCGAAATGATCCCTTCTCTTTGGTGCTCGAGAACAGTCTTATTTCTTCACCGGAATATAGTTTTAGATAGCCAATAAATTGTAGGGTACAAATACATCGCCACTTCTCCAAAGCTCCGCAAGCGTTTTTCGTTGTGTTCATGCACAAGGAAATCGCGGGCGTGTGTTGTCGTAAACAAGAGGTTAACTT